ACCAAGCAATGGCAAGAATCAGCAGCAGCTGCTACAACCACCGGCCGTGCAGGTATGGGACTCCTGAGGACAATGACACTTCGATGAAACCGAAGGTCGTCAAAATAACACTTAGAATTTCATATTTGCTGATATTCCGGGTTGTTGTGCCGTGCAAGGTTTCGGCTGTTTACCGAGACTTGATGCATCCATCATCATGGCTGAAATGAGAAGTCAACTTGTCTTGATGATAAGAGCTCCATTCGGGACTCATGACGGTATTTTAAGTCGCAGTCTGCAGTCATAAGGTTTTTTTTTGTGGTTCTGTTGTTTGTGCTGAGGATTGTTTTGAATTGGATAGGAGATGGATCTAGGGATTGGCCAATCAGAACCTTGGTTTGCGAAAGGAAGATGGAGCCATGTCCAAAAAAAATAGGAAAGACGCCTGAAAATCCCAAGTCTTAATCTAAAAATACAGTTTTTGCCTCAAAGAAAATAAAACATGTCTCAGTTACAAAGACCAGTTGGTTAATTCTGTTTTAGAAATTAATCGCTTGTTTATTCTGAAAATTACGAAACCCATACACGCCCTCTGTGGGGAAAAATTCAGAGTTGCTGGGTTCAAAATGGTTAACGTGAAATGTTGTGTTAACGTTAAGATTATTGTCTTCAAAGTTATGACACCGTGTATTCATCTACGTGGTAACCAACGGCTCGGAGAAACTGCTGTTTCCATCTTGAGTGTAGAACTGCCATGAAGATTAAACAGATTTTCAAATGGGACGATGGTTGTTTACCTTTAAGAAGTGCTGTTTGATGTCAAGTGTCGTATCTGTTACAGATCCTGGACAACAGTGGAAGCGTTGCAAACGGTCTGTCGTCGCAGGAGCTGTTCCAGCTGCTTCATAGCCCCCAACAGCCTCAACTCCAGCAGCCTCTGGTGGACAGCTACGGAGTACCCCTGGTACAGCAGCCACAGCTTCAGCAGCACTTCCATCAGCAGGCCGCCCTCTTCCCCCCCACCGTCTTCCTGAAGCAGGAACTGCCGTCCGAGCAAGTACAAGACAACTTGGTCTTCAAGACGGACTTCAGCCCGGAGTACCAGACATTCAACTACGAGGAGCAGTATCAGGGCGCTTCCCATCAGCAAGAAAATTACAGAGGAAATTATCAAGAACCTGAAGAATCAGAGAATTCGCCATCCGTCACCGTAGTCAGGAAATCTCCGGAATCAACAGTGACATCCTTTCAGGAGGAATTTGAAAATCAGAAGGATTACCAGCCGAAGGTAAATTCTGTGCCCGAGGAAGACGTCTATTATGACAACACAGCAACAAAAGTAGAGGGTGATAATACCCAGGCAGATTATGAAGGAACCGATAATAATGCTGATCAGAATGAAGCTTCAATATATTATTCCCAGGGTGATGGTGGTAGCAGTGGAATAGCTACCTCATACT